TTTTACTATTTTTGTTTTTTTTGGTGCTCAATAGATCTTAATATCTTCCTTTATAGTCTGAAGAAAATCCCTTATATGGACATTATAACTAATATTGAAATGCGACCTTAATGACTTGGAAAATTGAATAAACCAAAATATAATAATCACTAAAATAAAACTGTTTTACATAGTTATAGCTAGTTGGATTGTTTTTGTTGTGCCTGTTTTAAACAAATATTTTTATTAGAAGATTATGCTAAGTTACTTTTGATTAGTTGCATCCCAAAACAATGATACTATTTCTAGAAATCAGAAAAGGATGCAACTTTATGACAATGGGAGATTAGATTAAGCTTGGTAGATATACCAGGTCCAACTACATTTACAATGCATTTTGGAACTTGTATAGAAGAGAAAGTGGATCATTAGAAGAACCAACCCAAACATGACAAAAGTATTCCACATAAGGAAAAATAAGAGATTTGTAGAGGTAGAGAATGGAATCCAGAGTAAGAAAATAGCAAGCACAATCAGTGCCGTGCCTAGAGCCCCCCAAACCCCCCGGTTGGGGGGGGCATGAATTTAAAGGGGCCCTTCTATGCAGTATGCAAATTTTTTTTTGAGATGATGACTAAATTAAAATTATGATATAAGTGGTTTTTTTTTAATATAATGTTAAAACCTATTAACGTTTTCTAATTTTTTTAAATTCGCTTAACCTAACGAAAATGATATTGTATTTGCTGAGTTAATGGACGTTTTAAATTAGTTAAACTTTTGTTTAGAATGTTTCGCTTTTGTTTATGCCAAACCTATTGAGAAATATGCTATTGTATTGCTATACTTAATTTTAGTTAAACTTTTGTATACAAAACTCCAAATTATTATTTGATTCACATTTTTCAAACTCTAGTTTTTCACGGGTTTTTTAATTGTATTTAGTAGCAAGGATTTATTTGTATTTAGATACAAGGATTTTAATTGTATTGTATTTGTAGAAACGATTCCAGTTGTCTACATAAAAAGCAAGCAATGGATGATTTTTTTTGCTTTTTCATTACTAGATTATAACATTAATAAGAATATATTTTTTACATAATATTTAAATGGATTTCCTAATACACATTCTTTTCCAATAACATAAGAATTTATTATAAAAATTTTGTAAAAAAAATGTAAAATTATCTGTTGTTAACATTGTGTTAAGTATTTAAAAATACTTGTGCATAATTTGCACGCGCATACAAGTGTGCATGCAAAGTGCATACAAAAATTTTTTTTTTTCTTTTTAAACTCAAACCTTATTTATAATAATATATAGTTTTTATAGATTGTATACATTTAAAATATTGTATTACAGTCTAATACTATGAATAAAATTCATGTAAATCTATTTTTCATTTTAGATAATGAAGCCTTCAAAGTCAGGTGCAACTAAAAGAAAAGAAGCAGCAGCAACAAAAGATGCAATTAGCAAACTTCCCAAAGTTACATCATTCTTTACACCTATTCCAAGTAATTGCACCAGTAAATGAAAAAAATTGCTCTAATGAAGTGATCATTCATGAACAGTTAGATATTGCGAATAATCAACCTAACACAATAGAAAAGTTGTACACTCTACCATTGCCACCGTTTAGTTCCGTTGCTTGTGACCCAGCCAGCTGGCCTGAACAAATTTCTGATGCTCAATGATGTGACCTAGTCAAACGTGGTCCTCAACAGGTTGATACTGACTTTCCATACAATATTGCTGCAAGGCGTCGATTTTCAACGGTTTATTACAAGCGTGCGATGAATAATGGAGAAACTGTGCCTCGCTCATGGCTTGTGTATTCGGTAAAATCTGACAAGATTTTTTGTTTTTGCTGTAAACTTTTTGAAACAAATGAAAGTCCGTTTTGTAGTGGTACTAGTACATGGGAGGGACTATCAAAGAAGTTAAAAGACCATGAAACAGGAACATCCCATCAAAAGTGTTTTAGACAATGGATGCAGCTTAAAGAGGGTATCAATAATGATTCATCCATAGATAAACAAGAAATGCAGCTTTTTCTTAAAGAAAGGCAATTTTGGAGGGATGTCCTGGAGCGTCTTATTGACATTATAAAGTTCCTGTCAGAAAGAAATTTAGCATTTAGAGGTTCCGAAGAAGTACTTGGCTCACCACACAATGGAAACTTTTTGGGTCTGTTTGAGCTATTAGCAAAGAGAGATCCTGTACTGAACGAGCAACAGAAAAGGATTGAAAAAAAACAAACACATGATCACTACCTCAGCAACAAAATCCAGAATGAGTTAATTCAACTTATTGCAAAAGAAGTAGAAAAAGAAAACCTGAAAAAACTAATGATATCTAAGTACTATGCGATAATTCTGGATTGTACTCCAGATGTTTCTAACCAAGAACAGTTAACAGTCATTTTGCATTTTGTTGAGTGTGATACAGGTAATGAAGTCACAATAAAGGAAGCTTTTTTTGGATACCTTCAAGTTAGTGACAGCTCAGGAAAAGGGTTTTTTGACACATTTTTAGAGCAAGCAAAGGAGTTAAAACTGAATATGTTAGACTGTCGGGGCCAATCGTATGATAATGGCTCTAATATGAAAGGGAAGAACTCTGGTGTTCAGTCACGAATTCTACAAACAAATCCGAAAGCTCTGTATGTGCCTTGTGCTAATCACTGCTTGAATTTAGTTGTGGTTGACAGTGCCAAGTCATCAACTAGGGCTTTATCATTCTTTGGTGTTCTGTCCAGATTGTACACCATATTTTCATCATCCACACAGCGCTGGAGCATTTTGAAAGAACATGTGGAGATTGCTGTTAAAAATCAATCGGACACTCGATGGGAAAGTCGAATTAACTGTATTAAACATCTGCGGTATTATTTTGGCAATGTTTTGATTGCACTGGAAAAACTGGAGGAGTATGCAATAGAAAAAAAAAGATGGAAAAACAGCTACGGAGGCTCGGTCATTGATAACATATATTTCAGACTGGGCATTTCTTTTGTCTATTGTCATCTGGTATGACATTTTATTCCAAGTAAATAAAACAAGCAAGCTCATTCAATCCTTTGGTATTTCTCTAGATGTTATGGAAATTGAAATCAGAGCAACTGAGGCATTTTTAGAGAAGTATCGAGAAAATGGATTCTCAAGTGCTGAGACCACAGCCTGTGAAATTGCAGAAGAACTAAATATTCCAAGAAATTTTCCATCAATTCGCAACAATAGGAAGAAAAAATTGTTTGATTATGAAGGAGACGACGAAAGCGGTAGTCAAACGCCCCAATCACAGTTCAAAACTGATTTTTTTTTGTGCTTGTGGACCAAGCTTTACAATCTGTACAGGAGCGTTTCCAACAAACACATGATGTGGCTGCTGTATTTTCATTTCTGTTCAATCAGAAAAGTCTTTTTCAAGCATACAAAGACAACACCCTTTTGCTGAAGTGCCAGAATTTTCACAATAAAATGGGTGATATAGATCCGTTTGAAATGGAGATAGAATTAAAGCGATTTATTCATCTAGTTTTAGAAAACGATGAAAAGCTAAAAACTGCAATACATTTTCTGAATTATATCAACAGCAAATGTCTCCAGGAGGTGTATCCTAATGTTGCTATCGCACTCCGTGTTTTGTTGACTTGCCCTGTGACAGCAGCAACTGCTAAAAGGAGCTTCAGTAAATTAAAACTTATCAAAAATTTCCATCGCTCAACAATGACGCAAGATCGGCTGTCTTCTCTAGCCATGCTCTCAATAGAAAGTAACTGTGCCCGGAAGATAAACTGTGACCACCTTATTGAGGTCTTTGCAGACTCAAAAGTTCATCGAAAGCATTTAGTTGAGCCTCATTGAATAACACTTTGTAAATAAAGTTTTGTAGCAAGCAGTTAAAAAAAATCAAGTTTCTATATCTTTTTTATTAATAATTTGTTTTTAGGTGCTCCAAGAAGTTTTTTACAGAGCACAGTGGAAAAGCATTTATTAAGAAGTTCACGCCTCCTTCCTAACCGTTGTAGAAATCTTGTCCAGAGGGTGTTTTGAAACCCGGATCTCTTGAGTCGACTCGATTAGAGAGACAAGCATTCTACCACTTGAGCTAAACGGCTTTAAAATTATCTGATCATGCATGTGGAATGAGTAATACCAACATGTTCTGTCTTTTATCTCAACTTTTAATGGGGCCCAAAACCCACTTTTAGGGGGGGGGGCCACCAGCTGTCTGGCACGGCACTGAGCACAATAAAGGGAAGCTAATCCTTAGAAGATGCTAACTTTGCAATTGATTTTTTAATTGGTTTCCATGACGATAACCATAAGAGTGAAAACCAAGATATCAAGTAGAGGAGTCAGTGAGAGGATTGCCTTTTATCAATATAGGAACACCAATGAATAGTTAAATTGCAATAGTTGTTTGCAATAAAAAACCAAGTCTTGTTGGAGTTAAAGTAACACTCTTCCTGTTAACAGTATTGAAGATCAATCCAAGGTCTATATCACGCATATGCATTTATTGTTCATTTAATATTTTATTTCATTTTTATTTATTTATATGTTCATTTATTGCACAACCTGGCCCAATCAGCTGCTTAACTTATCCAGCTAAGGTAGATAAAGCATGTCAATACCTTATCAAACAAATCTGGAAAAAATTTTTATTTCTTTAATAAATTCTTAACAGACTAAATTTCTTAAACTTTTTACTAGTGAAAACATTTTGAAAATTTCTTATGAAAAAATCAAAAAGACTGCTCAAGAGTTCTGTTAGATTTATTATTTGCAACTATTAATTACAAATAAAAAATCTTAAAGAAGCAAATTATTACTTAATTATTATCTTATGCTATTCTGGGATACAATATGATTTTTTTGTGCAATATATAAAAGTGTATGAAATTCAGTGTTAAACGATAATAACTTTAAAATATGAATATAGAATTAATGCATAAATAATAATAACTATATATATATTCTTGCCTAATTAAGAAAATTGAGTTATCACCTAC